TCCTCACGTATCTGGTTCTTTTTAAATTTATTCACCAGAGTTTTATAGTTTCATCATATAGATCTTGTACATATTTTGTTAGATTTTTAGAAAGATATTTTAATTTGAGGAGTGCTAATACAAAAGTATTATATTTTTTTTAAAGATTAAAAAATTTTTTTAATTTATTTTGGGAGAGAAAACACAAGCACACGAGTTGGGGAGGAGCAGGGAGAGAGAAAGAGAGAGAATCCCAAGCAGGATCGTTAGCACGGACCCTGGCTCAGGGCTCATTCCCACCAACTGTGAGAACATGAACTGAGCCAAGATCAAGAGTCAGATGCATGACCTGAGCCAAAATCAAGAGTCAGATCACCAACTGAGGCACCCAGGTGCCCCAATAATACTGTTTTTTTAATGTCGAATTCTACTTATTCATTGCTGGCATAGAGGGAAGCAGTAGGATTTTGTATACTAACCTTGCAAACTTGCCATAGTTGCTAGTTAGTTCCAGAAGGTTTTGATCAAATCTTTCAAATTTTCTACAGCTAATGTCAACTGTGAACAAAGACAGTTTTATGTCTTCCTTCCCAATCCTTTCCGATCTATAAACTTTTAATTCCTCTCTTTTTTTTTTTCCTTACTGAATTAGCAAAGACTTCCAAAATGGATTTGAAACCATTGAGAGGGGACATCCTTGCCTTGTACTTGATCTTAGTAGGAAAGCTTTGAGTATTATGTTAGCTGCAGGTCTTTTGTAGATAGTCTTTATCAACTTGAGAAAGTTCCTCTCTATTTCTAGCTTACCAAGAGTTTTTATCATGAATGGGTGTTTCTGCATCTATTGATATGATCATGTGATTTTCCTTTTTTAGTCTGTTGATGTTATGGATTACCCTAATTGAGTTTTGAATGTTAACCAGTCTTCCATACCTGATATAAATCCCACTTGGTCATGGTCTCTGATATTTTCATACATTTTAAAATTTGACTTGTTAATATTTTGTTGTGGGGGATGCCTAGGTGGCTCAGTCTGTTAAGCATCCACTTTGGCTCAGGTCATGATCTCATGGTTTGTGAGTTCAAGCCCCGCATCAGGCTCTGTGCTGACGGCTCAGAGCATGGATCCTGCTTTGGATTCCATGTCTCTGTCTCTCTCTGCCCCTCCCCTGATCATGCTCTGTCTCTCTAAAATGAATAAATGTTAAAAATTTTTTAAAAATATTTTGTTGAGGATTTTTGAATCTTTGTTCATGAGAGATATTTTGTCTGTAGTTTTCTTTTCTGGTAACACCTCTGTCTGATTTGGTATTAAAGCAATGCTGGCCTCATAGAATGAGTTAGGAAGTCTTCTCTCTGCTTCTATCCTCTGAAAGAGGCTATAGAGAATTGGCATGATTTCTCCTGTAAATTTTCGGTATAATTCACCCGTAACACATGTAGGCTTTTTGAAAGGTTATTAATTATTGATTTGATTTTTTTAAATAGATAGAGCTATAACATTGTCTGTTTCCTCCTGGGTGCTTTTGGCAGATTGTATCTTTCAAGGAATCGGCCCATTTCATCTAGATTATCAAATTTGCAGGCATAAAGTTATTCACAGTATTCCTTTATTATCTTTTTAATACAGAATTTGTATTGATGTCTCCTCCTTCAATTCCAATATTGCTAATTTATGTCCTCTCTTTTTCGGTTAGGCTGCCTTATTGATTTTATTGATCTTTTCATAGAACCAGCTCCTGGTTTTGTTGACTTTTCCCAGTTGATTTTTGTTTGTTTGTTTTGTTTTTTTTTCATTGATCTGCTCTAATTCTTATTGCTTTTCTTCTGGTCACTTTGGATTTAATTTGCTCATCTTTTGCTAGTTTCCTAATGGGGATATTTATGTTATTGATTGTAGATCTCTTTTTTTTTCTCCCTAATGTATGGATTCAGTGCTATAAATTCCCCCCTAAACACTGCTTTTACTGCATGCCACAAATTTTGATAAGCATGTTTGCATTTTCATGTATTTCAAAAAGCTTAAAAATATTTCTCAAGATTTAGTTTTTGACCCATTTGCTATTTAGAAATGTTGTGTAAGTTCCATGTATTTGGGATTTTCCAGTTATCTTTCTGTTATTGATTTCTGGTTTAATTCTGGTTTAATTATCATTTCTCTTTGTGAGGAGTTTTATGATTTCTGTTCTTTTGAATTTGTTGAGTTGTGTCTAAGGCCAAGAATGTGGTCTATCCTCATGAATTTTCCATGTGAGTTTGAGAAAAATGTTTATTCTTACCTTTGCCTCCACAGTTTATCTTTTGTTTATTCGTTTATTATTTCTGAGAGAGAGACAGAGAGAGAGAGAGAGAGGGCACAAGTGGAGGAGGAGCAGAGAGAGGGAGACAGAGAATCCAAAGCAGGCTCCAGGCTCTGAGCTGTCAGCACAGAGCCTAACATGGGGCTCAAACTCACAAACCACGACATCATGTCCTGAGCTGAAGTTGAGGTTCAACCGCCTCAGCCACCCAGGAATCCCAGCCTCCACAGCTTAAAGGTGGGAGGGTAGGGGCGCCTGGGTGGCTCATTTGGTTGAGTGTCCTACTTCGGCTCAGGTCATGATATCACAGCTCGTGGGTTCGAGCCCCGCATCGGGCTCTGTGCTGACAGCCAGCTCAGAGCCTGGAGCCTGTCTTCAGATTCTGTGTCTCCCTCTCTTCCTGATCCTCCCCTGATCATGCTGTCTCTATCTCTCTCTCAGAAATAAATAAAACAGTTTAAAAAAAAAAGGACTGCTAAAAAATATAAATAAAGGTGGGAGGGTGAACTGATGATGGGCAAGAAAAAACAAGTGATATGCCACAGAATGAAAGACTGTTGGGTTAATTAGTTCTCAGACTCTAATGTACATATACATACCTTGGGGGGATATTATTAAAACCCAGCTTCGGGCTCTAGATCTTTGGAGGAGCCCTAAACTTCATTTCCAACAGGCTCCCAGGTGATATTGATGCTGCTGGTCCATAGACCACACTTTCAGTAGCAGAAGGTAAGAAGATCTCTTAGATGAGGGAGCCAAAAAGTCTCCTTTCCTATGAGGAAACTGGGGCTCTGAGATCACGTGTGAATTTCATGTGTACAGTGTGAACCTGCTAGCCTCTAGTGGGTTCTTCCTCTCCCTCAGCATTCTGCATCTATGTGTCTTCACTTTCCAGTCTGTCCAAAAGGAAACAGAAGATCCGATGTTCATCATATTTTATTATAGTCAAGATAGTACACTGAATGGGAACAGACTTGGGGAACTCCAGAGTCTCCGAGGTTTGAGTGAGCACAGGAAAATCTGCAGAAACTTTGGCTACATCTTTAATTAGAGCCACTAGAGTTTTATGGGTGAGTCTAGATCATAATGGAAAAAGGCAAAATTAGAATTCAATAGAAGGGCTAGACGTTTCTTTCTTCTGTGGAGACTGAACTTAGAGTTTCTGCCCTTTTTTTGGTTTGTATAAAGCTTCCTGTGGGACTTGAAGTAACGGAACTTGACCGATGTTTGGGTTCCAGTTGCTTTGCCAGAGATCTTAGGAACTCTCAGACTGGAAAAGTCAAAACTTAGAGTATTTGGTGCTGGGCTATGGATATCTGAATGCCTTGGGTTGGCCTTTCATGATTTTTTTGTGACTGAGTGATCCACAGACTGGGAGAGGGTCCCCAACGAGGGTTAGAGGAAGAAGCCATTTAGGCCCTGGAGAGAAGATAAGTGTCTCACCTAGGCCATGGGAATCATGGGTTGGCCAGGCCACACCTAGAAACCTGCTTCTATGCCTTTCTTCTGCGTCGGAGTCAGTGAGGCACAGGGGTCAAAAAGGGCACTAGGCATCCACCACATGCTGCCATTTATGGCACCTTTTTCTGGTTATTAACTACTGGAGATGATTGGAAAAAAGAAACTGTCTGTTTTCTGGACAAGATACTGCAAATTCCTGAGGATTAGGAAGGAGAATTCATAATGTCCAGAAACATGGAGGGGGGATCATTTGTTCTAAAGGATGGAAGAAAGAAAATAGCTTTATGCATTTTACCAAAGGATAAATTTATATTCTGTCTTAGATATTTAACATAGAATATACTCAGTAAAAGTTTACCAACTAATTTAATTAAACAGTGGAGATTTTTCAAAAAAAAATTTCAATGTCCAGATGCCAAAAGAAGCTGTCAAATTAAAGCAGCAAGCAGTACAAGCAAACTAAATGTTTTTAAAATATAAATTTTTATCTGGTTCTCCACTGCAAGGACTGATTTATGTTTTATATTCCCTTAATATATTTGATAAAATGGACAAGACCACTTTTGGACTAAGAAGCATTTGCTAATCACAGAGCCTTTGATATTAGACATGGCCAGATTCTATTTTTTAAAAAACTTTTAAAATGTTTTATTCATTTTTTTTGAGAAACAGGCAGAGCACAAGTAGGGGAGGGGCAGAGAGAGAGAGAGAGAAATATCAGAAGCATGCCCCAGGCTCTGAGCTGTCAGGAGAAAGCCCTATGTGGGGCTCCAGCTCACGAACTGCGAGATCATGACCTGATACAGTGTCTGATACTTAACCTACTGAGGCACTCAGGTGCCCCAGATTTAGCCACGTTCGAATCCTAGGTCTGCCTCTTACAAGTGCGTGCTCTCTGAGCCATGGTGTTCTCCTCTATAAATGGGGATAATAGTAGGGATTGCTGGGGGTGTTAAATGAGAAAATGCATGCAAAACTATAACCCCAGGGCCTGATATAGAGTGAATGTTAGTAAATAATGTCATAATCATGGAACCAGAAAGAACAACAATAAAATAAGTCATGAAATTAACAGCGGTTTCGGTTCGGATTCTCCAAGGCCCAACTCCACTGGGCTTGGAGACTCAGAGCAGAGATGAAGCCCAATAGAATCCGCCGCACGAAATGACGCCCCGGCTCAGATGCTGCTAAAAACTACATTTCCCAGCAGCCCCCGGTCCCAGGGTTTCGGTTTCTCTCACTTCCGGGTCTGTCATGTGACTCGCCGGCTGCACCATGGCGGAAGCGGAGGAGCAGGTAAATGCTGCCGCTGTTGGGCCCGGGAGTGAGAGGCGAGGGTGAGGAGATGCGGGCTGCGAGCGGAGCGTGTGGACGGAGGGCGAGCCAGGCCCACCGCGGGGCACCCGAGGGGCGGGAGGCCGTTTCGGGGAGCGTGGCTGCTCGGGGGGCGCCCGGGGAGAGCGCCCCGACGCGTCCCGGCGTCGGAGAGGCGGCCTTGCTGCGCCGCTGCCCCTGTGAACTGTCTTGAGTGACGTTTTGCCTGGAAGGCAGCCTGGTTGTCCCAGGACCTGGCTGCCCTTGGGAAGCGTTGAGAGGGGACTTGAGGGGGGCGCCTGGGGGACTCAGTCGGTTAAGCGTCCGACTTCGGCTCAGGTCATGATCTCGCGGTTAGTGGGTTCGAGCCCCGCGTCGGGCTCTGTGCTGACAGCTCGGAGCCTGGAGCTGCTTCAGATTCTGTGTCTCCCTCTCTCTCTGCCCCTCCCCTGCTCACGCTCGCTCTCTCTCTCTCTCTCTCTCTGTCTCTCTCTCTCAGAAATAAATAAAAAAACATTAAAGAAAAAAAAAAGAGGGGGCTTGAGGTTTGAGGCCTGGTTCCTTCCCAGTCGAAGCGGAGACGGTGCGAGCTGACTCGCAGGAGGGCCGGGAGAGAGTAGATGATGCATTTTGTTTCGTAGCTGTTGTCTTCAGGGGCCAAGCCAGCTGCGACGTGCGGCGGGGGTGACGTGCCTCTGTCCGGACGAAGACGCCCGGGCTGCAGAGCCGGGTCTCTTTCTAAATGACTTTGGGCTCGTTCTTTCATTATGGTCCAGCTCACCATAAACCTCAAACAGAGGATGGGGATACAGGGGGAACTAAGTTAGAGAGCAGACCAAGGACCCCGGCTAAAGTGCTTGGTAAAGGCTGGGCTCTGTAAACGTTTCTGCGGTTAGTAGTTGCTGGGAGAACATAGACGACAGCGCCAGCCCAGCCTTGGCTTCGTGGGATTGCAGTTTAGCGCAGCAGTCAGCGATGGCAACAGAGTTTTCATACACTTACAGTGGTAGCCAAACCTTGGTCGAAATGACACGGTACTGTCAAGAAGACAGAAGAGTGCACACAAAGGTCAGAGCTCATTGTCCATTTCCAGAGTCATTTCAGGTTGGCACTGTTTTTCCTTACAAATTAACAGGGCCCTCAGTTTCCGTAATTGTCTCTAAAAAGTGGTTTATGGTGAGCTGTACCATAATAAAGGAAGTTTAGCTATTTGATAATTTATTATCAATGGCATTAATACCGTTTGTAACAGAGTTCATTTATGTAACGCAAATTTGCCCTTCCTACGTGTGATGTGTACCAGTAATTAAGAAAGAAAGTAGAAGTGTGGTTTGGGTGGTCGTCGCAGTAACAGGAGTGTTGCTACCAGCCACGAAGTCTCCTTTTTTTGATCCAGTCACTTCGAAGGAAAAATGCTTGTTAAGCACATGCAATTTCATGAGTCATTGCTGGGTTTGATGATAGTGGTGAGATTGGCTTTCACACTGTTGCTCTTTATGCTTGAAATACAGCTGATTTGTTGTTTGATTTCAAACCAAAAAGGGGCGTGGCTCAGTCGGTTGACTGTCCGACCTCAGATCAGGTCATGACCTCATGGTTCGCAAGTTCGAGCCCCACATGTGGCTTGTTGCTGTCAGCGCAGAGCCCGCTTCAGATCCTCTGTCCCCTTCTCTTTCTGCCCCTTCCCTGCTTATGCTCTTTCTTTCTCAAAAATAAATAAAACATTAAAAAGAAATGAAACCAAAAGCCACGATCTTAGATACAGGGTAGTAGAAATGGAGAGAGTTGTTCTTAGTATTTTCTGCTGTTTTGTGCAGAAGAGAGTTTGGCAAAGCTGTTTGATACACAAACACACATAGAAAGTTAGTGATACAGGAAGCATGCCTTCAATTTTTATAGCACTTTCCGGTGTAAGCCCTTCACATCATGTTTGGTCCTCACAAAATAATTCTGTGTGGTAAATGTTCTGACATACAAGTCAGGACCAGCGCCTCCTATGTTCTGCCAATGGCTTCCCACTGCACTGCAAAGAAAAGTCAGACTCCTTTATAATCCCCTGGTTGCCCTGAAGGATCTTGCTCCAATTACTCCTTATTCCGTTTCTCTGACTTCATTTTCCACTGCTCTTCTCTTCTCCCCTTTTGTCACTGTGCACCAGCTGTACTTGGCTTTCTTCCTGTACCTTCAACAGGCTGGCATGTTTCTACCCCAGGGCCTTTGCTCATGCTCCTCCCTTTTTTGACCCCAGATATCCAGGGCTTTCTCTTGGAGTTCCTTCATGTCTTTGTCCAAGTGTTATCTTTTTGAGTGAGACCTTCTTTGATTGCTCTTTGAGACCTCTTCCTTGCATTCTTTTTCTCCTTAGTGCTCACCACCATCTCTCATAGTGTGTTTTAAAGTTTCTGCTTATTTGTTCTGTATGTTTCAGTATTCATTTCTGTATGTTCTCCTTATTAAAATGTAAGCTTCATGACGTCAAGGATTTGTTCACTGCTGTTTGCCTGACACCTAGAATAGTGCCACAATATGTGTTAAATGACTGAACTTTACACATAAGCAACTGGAAATTCAGACAATATAAGTCACTTACTCAGGTTTGTGTCTGTAATAAATCTCCAGTGTTCTATCTCCAAAGCCCATGTTTTTTCACTAGAACACCCCATCTTTGAAAAAATACTTGAAAACCTAATTCTAATTTTATTTTTAACTTTATGAAGTAGAATGAACTCTTACCACCTTAATAAGTTTCCTTCGAGTCATAATTTCACCTTCGATGCTTCAACAGCCTGCATGCAGCTAGAGCAGCATTCATCTCCCCGACAGGTCATTCTCGAAAAGCCCAGGGGCCCACTGTCAGTGGCAGAAGGAAGCAGACATCCACAAACTGTCCTTCTGTTTATTTTTAAAGCTGGCAAATGACCATACCTATATTATCAGTCCTTTATAGATTAAAATGGATTAAAAATGGTTAGATGTTTCTCACTCTGGTTGGTTTGTGCAGTAGGGAGCTGTTAAAATCTGGCTTGCGTGTGGAGTGTTTTGAAGGCTAAAAGTGCACAAAAATGGAGTTAAATAAATTTGTTAATTGTTCTGTTTTGCCCCTTTAAGCCTTTTAGAAAATCTCTTTTTAATTAATTAGTTTATTTATTGAGAGAGAGAGGGAGCGAGAGATGATGAGTGGGGTAGGAGCAGAGGGAAAGGGAGAGAGACACCAAGCCAGGTCCCCACTGTCAGCACAGAGCCCAGTGTGGGGCTCGAACCCACGAACCGTGAGATCATAACCTGAGCCGAGATTAAGAGTCAGACGCTCAACCGACTGAGCCACCCAGGCTCCCCTCCTCTTAACTTTTCTGAGCGTTGTATTCTTTGGTGATTGCTTTTTTTTTTAACCCTTTAATTTTAGAAAGAACCAAAGTAATAAGATCTGTACCGAGTTATAATGTAAAATAGTTCAGGAGCTCTCAAGCTATGAAGTCACTTTTTTGGACATGATTGAACATTTTTTAAGGCATTGGGAAGTCTTTGTTTCTGCTGAGTACAGTGAAGGGGGTTCGCAGAAATAACCACACGTGCAGTTCGGAGAAAGGCCTCACACGCTGTATTCTGCCTGGGACTTTTCTAACCGGCAGTTTTACTTAGTTCCGGAATGATTTACAGTTGACCTTCATTATCGCAGACGCCCAATGGTATTTGTTCGGACCTCTTTTATGAAAAACATTCGGCTTGCAGTCTGGTTGTGTATTAGTCTTATCCCGACTAGAGACTGCTGAGTCCTCAAGAACAAGCACAGAGCTCACTCACGCGGACATCTCGCACAGGCCTAGTGCTTTACAGGTACTGGGTGCTTAGTAAAATGTTTAAATGAACTTATGCGGGGGAGAATAGCCTTCCGGATTGAAAATCTCAAACCATAAGTAAGATGCAGTAGAATTTGTGTTATGTTATCTTAACTTGAAACTTTTGAAAGTTATTAATTTAAACGTAGGTTACGTTTCCTACATTCCTTACTCTGCCGGCTCCCCGGGCCCCCTTTCATCTTTCCTACCAACCATCAGGGAACCCGGTCTATTAAAAAACTGACCATCTATTCACGTCACATTTCTTTTTTGAATTTTCCCTGTACGTTTTAGAATTGGAATTATTTTTTTTTAAGAGACAGAGTGTGTGTGAGTACAGTAGAGAGTCCGAGAGAGAGAGAGACAGAGAATCCTTAAGTAAGCTCCAGGCTCAGTGCGGAGCCCAAACGGGAAGCTTGGGACTATGACCTGAGCCAAAACCAAGAGTCAGATGCTCGACCGACTGAGCCACAGGCGCCCGGGAATTTGGGGACATTTTATCCTTACTATAGAAGCATTTTCTGATTATCACATGATAGTTCATGAGCACGAGCACCCCCACGCGACTGTGGTCCATGTGTAAAATACAAATCACAGCAACAAGTACTTGCCTGTGGACAGAGGCATTTGCTCTCAGGACTCTTGTGAGTATGAAATGGGGTTGTGTTAAAGGGGCCGGGCCGAAGCGCCTATGTGTGACTTCGCTCGGGTATGCACGGTTCTCTCTCTCTCTCGCCTTTTTTTTTTTTTTACAGTTTGAGCAAGATCTTTTGAAAGCAGGGGCACCTGGTGGCTCAGTCAGTTAAGCCTCCGACTTTGGCTCAGGTCACAATCCCATGGTTTGTGGTTCAAGCCCCCCGTCGGGCTCGGTGCTGACAGCTCAGAGCCTGCAGCCTGCTTCAGAGTCTGTGCAGGGGTAGCAGGTACACGCCACACAAAACCTGTCCTCATCCTCTGCCTGTGTCAGACGCCGGGCTCTCTCACGCACGCCCTGTCCTCCACTGAGCTCGGCCGGTCACGGTGTGTTGGGAAGGAGAGAAGGTGGCCGCGCGCTGTTGAGCGTTTGGGGTCTATCCCCAGGCCAGGCGGACTGCCCGGAGCCTGGCCTCTGCTCTGTTCCTGCAGACGTTAGAGTCGGCCTTCCTCAGGCTCCAGCCTCCATTTCTCCCCCAAATTCTGCACCCCGCCCCTCCACCCGACAAATAGTATGTATAGATTCAAGAGGTCACGGGTCAAGGCACCGAGATCATGAGGTTTGGATATATGATTGAGTTTACGGGATTGGCTTGCAGCACAAAGGTGAGGTAAAGCAGCTGAGGTTAGCCTTCCGCAGTTGCCCAGATCTTGTCCGGCTATATACTTGTCTCTCTTTTTTTTTTTTTAATGGATATTTATATTTGAAAAAATATCCATTTTTTTTTTTAATGGATATTTATATTTGAAAGACAGAGCATGAGCAGGGGAGGGGCAGAGAGAAAGAGAGACATAGAATCTGAAGAAGGTTTCAGGCTTCGAGCTGTCAGCACAGGTCAGACATGGGGCTCAAACTCACGAACCACGAGATCATGACCTGAGCCGAAGTTGGCCCTTTAACCCACTGAGCCACCCAGGGGCCCCATCTGTGTGTCTTCTAGCTCATCATTTCTGCTTTAACCAGAACAGCCCCATTTTTTTTTTATTGTAGTAAAATTTGCATAATATTGACCACTTTAACCATTTTTTTCAAGTTTTATTTTATTTATTTTGAGACAGAGTGCAAGAGAGGGAGGGGCAGAAAGAAGGGGAGCGAGAATCCCAAGCTGCCCCTGAGCCTCTAGCCAGAGCCCGATATGGGGCTCGAACTCACGAATCGTGAGATCATGACCTGAGCCGAAATCAAGAGTTGGTTGCCCCACCGACTGAGCCACCCAGGCTCCCCACCATGTTAGCCATTTCCAAGTGCATGATTGAGTCAGTGGCATTAAGTACATGCGCACTGTCCACCATTCCCACCATCCGTCTCCTGAACTTCTGGCCATCACAGACTGAAATTCTGGACCCATTAAGCACTCACCGCTGCCCCCGCCCAGCACCTTCCCCCAGCCCCTCCTAAGCTCTGTTCTACTTCTGCCTCATGTAAGTGGAACCCTCCGGTCTGTGTCTGGTTTATTTCACTTAGAAAACAGCACAGTTCTGTAACTTGTATTGTCATGATTCGAAGTTCTTCAGAAGATAAGAGGGCAAAGCTAACACGTGGTTGAAAACCACTGCCTCTTTCTAACTCGTGACCGTTCTCAGGGTTCAGCCCCACTTATTGGAGCCGTCCCCAGGGCATTGACTTCAGGCCGTCTGGCTGGCCCCGCAGTCCCCGGGGCATTAGCAGAGGGGAGTTTTGCTTGGAGGAAGCAAGGAAATAGCAGACTGTGTGATTTCTGAAGTCACTCATGCATTGCTTTGCTAGGACTGGGAACAAGAGTGTCGTTTTCCTTGAGGCCACAGCTCAGTTTGGGAGGTTCATACTGGGGGGAGGGGGTTAGTGTGAGAATGCCATGGAGGAAATGTTCTCACTGATACCCGCAGCACAGGAAGCCTCTCTGAGAGCCTGGTTTTTTCCTGAAGGCTCGGGTTTCTGAGAGCCACAAGCCTCGTGGTATCGCATTCTGCCACTGCATGGGTTTTGGTGCAGAGTCAAGAATATAATTTGATCTTGGGGCACCTGGGTGACTCAGTCGGTCGAGCCTCTGGCTTCGGCTCAGGTCATGATCTCACGGTTCCTGGGTTCGAGCCCTGCATTGGGCCCTGTGCTGACAGCTCAGAGCCTGGAGCCTGCTTCAGATTCTGTCTGTCTGTCTGTCTGTCTGTCTCTCTCTCTCTCTCTCTGCCCCTCCCCCGCTCACACTCTCTCATCTCACACTGCCAGCTCAGAGCCTGGAGCCTGTTTCAGTCTGTGACTCTCTCTCTCTCTGACCCTCCCCTGCTCACGCTCTCTCTCTCTCTCTCTCTCTCCCCTAGAAATAAATAAAACATTAAAAAAATTAAAAAAAAAAAAAAAGACTTCCTTAGGTCTAATGGCATTTTTCTGAAAAGAGTAAACCAGTGCCCTTTTAAAGTTCTCGAGTTGGGGATAGGAATGTAGGCACAGGTCGTTGGCATGGTCATCAAAGCCTTGTTTCCCGGATATTATTAAGTTAATATTCAGGGACAGTCAGGAGTGGAAAGGGTGTCAGATGTTGTTAAGTTCAGCCGCTGAGCCTCAGTGTTCTTACCTCAGGGGTCATTAGGAAATTCTAAGATGCTGGGTGCAAAGCATTTAGAATCATGGGGATATATATAATAGATGTTCAGTAAAGATGTCAGAATCGTGACTGTTAATAATAAATGGCGTGTGTCCAAAAGAGAAGCGTCAGGGTGGTAAGTGGATGAGAACCAGGGTCTGGGGACGGGTAGCACAGAGGAAGAACAATTTAGAAGGGCAGGCACGATACGTGTCATTAACTCTCTGGAGAACTGTCAAGCAGTCGAAGAATTGGATTTTTTATGGGTCTTACTGGTGCTGAGAACAGAAAGTTCCCGTGGAGGGATTGTAGCTCCAAATTAATAAGCACTTTCTAGTGCTCAGAATAACGTCAGTGCGTCGGGGTGTGGGGGAGGTTGTCCTGTCCATCGTGGTTAAGGGCACAACTACAATACAATTCCTAATCACAAGTGACATTCGTCCCCATTTCACAGATGGCCTTTCAGAGCAGGGACCGTATCACCCACAAGGCTGTTTGCAGAGACGGCCCACCACCTGCTGGGTTCTTCTGAATCTTCCACGAATGAGATTAAAATGTGTGCAAACACCGGATGTGTGTGTAGCCTGCTCTACAACCGGCCCTGAGTCACGGAGGCGTCTAACTCTCTTTAAAATGTTTATCTTTTTTCTTGAAAAATACTAGTTCTCTCCAAAATGTCCTTGCCCCATTTTTTTTTTTTTGTTCTTTTCTCCCGTGGATTGTTGCAAAATGCTTACATTCGGTGTCAGCATATTAGTTGTAACCTTTTATTGCTATTGATATCTATAAGTACGTTAAGTAAATCTTCATTTTGCTGACCTCTTTGAGGATGCATGGCATCAGCAGATTCTCTCTTTCAGTGGACAGGTGAGAGATTAGCGGGACCGAGTCAATTTTTCCCTTTTTGCTTCGTTTTCTCCAGAGCAGCAAGATTCATTGTCTAGCAAGAGGGAAACGGTGTTCAATGGCAGAATTTGTCTTCTGGTTAATGGGTTAAAGAGCAGATGTAAATTACAGAGCTTGTTTGCACAGCGCCTGATAGGTGCCCCTCCAGGGGAATTCTTTTAGTAAGAAACTGTTTAAGCAAGACAGTCATTTTGACTTAACCAGATTAATAGCGTGGGCATTAATAGCACCAGGGCTTTTCAGCATAAAACGTGGCTTACAGATAATTTGAGATGGCAGCTTCCTCTTCCCTTCCGTGATCAGTAAGGCTGCTTTGCCAGCCCCGCTTCCATTTTCAGCGAAGGAAAGAGCCTTCTGTGCACACATGGGAGCGTTCCTGCGGCCATCGGTCAGTGGGCCCGAGTGGCCCCGCAGGGACCGTCTCAGCCCTGCCACTCATGGGAAGTGGAGGGAGGCTTGGAGAGTTGCCCTGCCTGGAGCCCTTTCTGCTGTGGTGGCCCGTTACCTCCCCAAGGGTTAGGTGGGCGGCGGGGGTGTGGTGACCCTTTGCTCTCGAAAGTATTTCCTAGTTTATTCTGTTGTCATCTCTTCTGACCATTCTCCCCCCATTCTCCCCCTCTGTGCTTTGTAGGAAACGGAGTCTCTCGAAGAATCTACGGACGAGTCTGAGGTAAGGCGGGTGCTTCGGGAGCCTGAGGATCGCTTCCCACCACGTTACCTTGTGCTTGTTCTGCCTTGCCGGGACTGGGGGTGGGAAAGTGGGGCCGTGGGTGGTTGATCCTTGGGGAACGACTTGCCAGTTGTCTTCAGAAATCTATTTTTAAAAATTTTTCTAAATGTTTATTTGTTTTTGAGAGAGAGAGAGAGAGAAAAAAAACGAGTGACCGGGGGAGAGGCAGAGAGAGAGGGAGACACAGAATGGGAGGCTGGCTCTGTGCTCGGAGCTGTCAGCACAGAGCCCTACGCGGGGCTCGAACCCACAGACCACGAGATCATGACCTGAGCCGAAGTCGGACGCTCCACCGACCAAGCCACCCAGGCGCCCCCAGTCTTCAGAAATATTAAGTGAATCAGCTTAAATAAACAGCAGAAGGAGCGAAAAGCTCTCTCCTGATCTTGAACAGTATTTTAGCCCAAAGTGTGTTGGCAGTGGGAAATTGGATGCAAAATTTCACAAACGAATCTTGACTCTTCAAAAAACTGGGTTTTAAAACAAACTGCTGTAGGTTCTACCACATTTATTTTTTCTCTTCATTCTTTTAATGAGAATGACACGCCCACTGGGGGTACTTCCTCAGTCACCGAAGTTAGAGTTGATTTCATAAAATAGACAGGAAAGTTACTTCCTTAAAAACTGTTAAGGAGCTAAGTTGTGTTAAAGTTTGTGTTTTAAGGAGAATAAAATATAAGGGTGGGCTTTTTAAAACAAATTTCTTTTCAAGACTATGCATAAGAAATCAGTAAAGGGGCACCTGGGGGGCTCAGTCGATTAAGCATCCGACTTCGGCTCAGGTCATGAACTCACGGTTTGTGGGTTCGAGCCCCGCGTCGGGCTCTGTGCTGACAGCTAGCTCAGAGCCTGGAGCCTGTTTCGGATTCTGTATCTTCCTCTCTCTCCGACCCTCCCCTGTTCATGCTGTCTCTCTCTCTCTCTCTCTCAGAAACAAGTAAAAAACATTAAAAAAAAATCAGTTTAAGCATAACCAAAACTAATGAACCTACTAATTTTATGGATGGACTTATTAATAATAATAATTATATTTTTTCCTTATGCTATTTCATATGAAAAAAATATGTATGCTAACCCCTGCTGGAAATTCACACCAATGTGACTATAGCCAGTGTAGTTTGTAAATTCAGGTTGATACTGCATATAGTTATTATATGGATTTTATTTGCTTTTTCAAGGAAAAGGTGGACTGTTCACCTGGAGAACAGCTTATATATTATGCTATAATGTGTTTATACTTTGGCGCTACAGGCATGGTTCCTAATATCTTTGCTACTAAGGAACTCAGATAGCGTCCTTGGGCCTCCCGATAAGGCACTACAGAGTTTGCTTATAGATATGGCATAAGGCTTGTTAATTTTTTTTTTTTTAGTGTTTGTTTCTGAGAGAGAGAGAGAGACAAAGACGGAGACAAAGTGTGAGTTGGAGAGGGGCAGAGAGAAAGAGGGAGACACAGAACCCAAAGCAGGCTCCAGGCTCTGTGCTGACAGCACAGGCTGAGAACCCATGAACGCAGGGCTTGAACCCACGAACGCAGGGCTTGAACCCACGAACCGTGGGATCATGACCTGAGCCCAAGTCTGGACACTTAACCGACTGAGCCACCCAGGAGCCCTAACACTTGTTAATTGTTAATAAAATATTGAAAAGCGTTTCAGCGTAACCATCTTATCTCTGGAGATCTCTGGCTAACCGTGCTCTCGGAAGCACTGGTAGAGAATTCTGCAGTGTGGGAGTCCTGTCCCAGGATTTCATTTCAGAGGTGAGGAGGATGTTGACAGCCACCGAAGTAAGTCTTTCTACACATCGTTCAGATACGAAACAGATCCACAAGGAGAGCAAACAGAAGCACGTATAACTCGTGCCTGCGGCGTGATCGGGAAGCAGGGCGTGCTGTGAACGTCAGTCCAGGAGGGGGAATACGTATCCAGAGCCAGCCGAGCCAGCTCTGGATGGAGTCTGGAGCTGAGGGTCTGATGGAGGCCAGATGGAGATGAGAGTTATCTGAGCGCCGGTGGGGGCGGCGTACGGACAGACAGAAGTCACCCCCAGGAGGGAGAGGGCTCCACCCTGAGTGGGGGAGTCGTGAGAACCCGTCTCACAGCACCTGGTGGATCTGAGCACTGGCTAGTGGGGAATTTATTTTATTTAAAAAAAAATTTTCTTTATGTTTATTTATTTTTGAGAGAGAGAGAGAGAGAGAGACAGAGCATAAGCAGGGGAGGGGCAGAGAGAGAGGGAGACACAGAATCTGAAGCAGCTCCCGGCTCCAGGCTGTCAGTCCAGAGCCTGATGAAGGGCTCGAACCCTCGAACCGCGAGACTGTGACCTGAGCCAAAGTCATGGTGACCTGGGCCACCCCGGCTTCCCTGGCTGTTGGGGAATTTAAGGAGGGAGCTTGGCAGTGTGTGGGATGGGAAGGGACAGTGCTGCTGCTGGATGAGCAGCTGCTCCTGGAGAGAAGGGGGAGGCACCCCTTGGTCACATGGTGGTGACATCAAAGGAAAAAGGGGAAATTAAGGGTACCCGCCAACAAATAGCAGAAAGTCCGGATATACTTACCTCCCTCCGCAGTACCAAACAGCGATGCCACTGTGCATGAGAGAAGGTGTGCTTCATTCCCAGTGCGACTCACAGCCCTAGTGAACCATTCAGATGCCTCATCCTGTGCTCAGGAGCACCTGCTCTCGCTGTCCGGGAGGCCTGGGACACGGAAAAGTGAACTGAAATGGCGGGTAGTGTCCGTATTAAAAAAAAAGACTATAGGAAGAAATCCAAGTGAGAGTCAAAACTTTTCAGCCTGGATGACCAGCCCCATAGCGCTCCGTCGTGAACTGAAGTCCTTCAAACAAGCATTCACAGAGATGAAAAACCCTCCTCTTCAGCCAGAAATTTTGGAACTCAGAATAGAAGTGGACACACACACACACACACACACACACGTGCACACATGCACATACACACACACACACACACACAGGGAAGGTAGGGAGTGAGAGTTGGCCACTCAGGAAAGAAATGAAAGGAAAAGACTGTTCTTTCAAAGCGGAACGAACCGAGACCCTCAAGGTAACCTGTCTGATGTCCTGTAGCAGGTTCACCGGAGAAGTGGGTTCAAACTCTGGCCCCCAGCACTTTGCCTTCTGGCCCTGACAGGCTGGGACTGAGGGAATGGAGTCGGGCCTCGGGTTCATACCTGCTGTGTGGCCTTGGGCGTAGCACCCAGCTCCTCTGTTCCTCAGTGTCCTCTTACGGAAAACGTGGTTGTCGCTGACTGTGGTCACCGCGAGGATGAGGGAAGGTGCCGTTGGCCCAGCGTCCTGTGCGGTGCCGGCGCCGGGGATGCAAGCAGTCTGCCAAGGTTGTGGTCCTCAGCCTGTGTTCTAGAAGTGTCCCTGCTGCGCCTTCTACAGCCCCCGGCTTCCGCCTGAGGCTGGGAGAGGCCCCCGAGACCCTGGGAAAGCAGGAACTCCCCCGATCCCGGGGGTTCTCACGGTCCACGGGCCAGCGAGGGGGCCAGGCCGGTGACAGACAAGTCTGGTCGTTTCGGTGTAGCGAGCTGGTTTGTACTCCAGTCTCTGGAGCAGGTTGTCCTGGGTTTCTCCATTTGAGTCACTTTCCGGTTGCGGGATTGAGAGTGTGAGACACTGCTTGGTCGCCCGAGAATCTTTATTTTTCCTTTTCTTCCCACGAGGGTTTATAACAGGTAATTCAGCTTTCACAGGGCAGGCCTTTGCTTAGCATGCTTCTGCCTCCACTTTATTCAAGTTCCCAGGTGTTTTTCCTTTCCTTTTTTTTTTAATTTTTCATTTTTAATGTTTATTTTTGAGAGAGAGAGAAAGAGTGCAAGCAGGGGAAGGAGCAGAGAGAGAGGGAGACACAGAATCTGAAGCAGCTCCAGCCTCCGAGCTGTCAGCACAGAGTCTGACGCAGGGCTCAAACCTACAAACCGAGAGATCACGACTTGAGCTGAATTTGGTTGCTTAACCGACTGAGCCACGGTACAGGCAGCTGGGTATTTTTCTATTTCTGCAAGTAACGGGTATTTAGTGTTTTCAACCATGGAATTGTAACAATTTTTCTGTTACCTGATGAGATGCTGCATTTCTTATAGACTGGGCTTTTATATTGGGAAGACCCTAGTGTTAGGTTATTCTAACGTTCTTATTTTTAAAAATTTTAAACGTTTTTAATGAAAATATTTTTTTTTCTTGAAGCTCAGGGTGTTATTTTTTATTGAGTATTGTTGTTGTTTTTTTACAGATAGTTTATTGTCAAATTGGTTTCCATATAACACTCAGTGCTCATCCCCACAAGTGCCCTCCTCCATGCCCCTCACCCTCCTCCCCCACACCCATCAGTCCTCAGTTTGTTCTCAGCATTCAAGAGTCTCTCATGGTTTGCCTCCCTCCCTCTCCCCCACTATTTTCCCCCTTCTTCTCCCCCACGGTCCTCCGTTAAGTTCCTCCTAATCCTCCTATACGTGCGAACATAAGATATTTGTCCTTCTCTGCCTGACTTATTTCGCTCAGCATAACACCCTCAAGGTCCATCCATGTTGCTACACATGGCCAGATGCCATTCTTTCTCATTGCCATGTAGTATTCCAAAAAATATGGAATGCTTCACAAATTTGCGTGTCATCCTTGCACAGGGGCCATGCTAATCTTCTCTGTATCATTCCAATTTTAGTGTATGTGCTGCCGAAGCGAGCACTAATGAAGATATTTTTAATTGTGGTAGACTACATATAATGTAGAATTTGCCGTCTTAACCATTTTTAAGCATACTGTTTAGTACGGTCAAGTGCATTGACATTGTAGAGCAACCTACCTCCGGAACCTGTTCATCTCGCCCTGCTGACACTCTGTGCCCATCAGATTACAGCTCCCCGTCCTTCAGCCCGCAGCCCCGGGCAGCCACCACTCTGCTTTCCGTGT